CACAATCCTTTCCATTATAGTCCTTACAGATCCATTCAGTCAAACACCATACAGACGGCTGATGTCTGATATTCAGTCGACAAGCTCACCTTCTACTCTACAACTCAATGCTATGCCTACATCAACGAGGCCTCGACAACTAGTTACTGGTTCTCCAGATACACTTGAGGTGAATTTTGAAGATTCACTACGCTGGTCATGTGACGTCAATTTGATAAGCACACTCAGGTCTTGTATATGTGTCTCAGAGACACAGCATACATCCATGGCAGAGATTGCAGGGTTTTGTTGGACTCCTACATGAAATCAACCACAGGGTCTTAGAAGACTAGGAATCAGGTTTAGATGGCATCGATCGTTCGTGATGGTCGCGGAATGAGGTTGGGGAAGGTCTAAGAGGCCTAATATTAGTATCAGGAGGTGATGGCGACGGAGGAGACAGAGTTGAGGAGTAAAGGTTATATATGATCGGGTGTGTACTACTGGAAGGTGCGGCCGGTCAACAATTCTCGCCTGGTCACACCACGGAAAGCTATTTCTTCTTAAGGTATCTGAAGGACAAAAAGATTTGTATGATTTCAAAGCACATAAGACATTTCCTTGGGGTCTATCACATACAGCTCTTTGTGGATTGTTGTTTTGAGGTTTGATTGTTCTTACGCCGGATAGAGAGAATCCATACCACCGGCATCGGAAGACCATGGGATGGAGGAATGTGCTGTTGTTGGAGCTGACGTTTCTAACCCCGCTTCCGAAAGGGAAGGCAGTATCAGCGTAGCACTGCTTGTCACTCAAGGGAAACACCTGACTGCTGTCACACCCCAGTCAGCCAGCAGTACGACTTCGCCCTCAGATCCCCATCATAGTTTAGTAACTTACACTACAACGGTAACTTTTTCTCGTCTTACCACTATACAAGACCTGTCTGGAAGGGTAGGACTCGAGGGGACAAGCGTTCCAGCTAGCGTGACTCACTGTGAAATGGAAGCCAGACCACCACGTCAAGGTAGCAGTGATCGATGCCGGTCTGAATGCGGCATTCGACCATAAGGTCATATGGCAGTGTCTCACATTAAATGGGGGTTCCTTATTGATAGCTGTGTTCTTGAAAACCCGTGGGAGTGTCAGAGCCTGTGGTCAGCTGTGTACATCCAGTGATGTCCTTCAAGGATGTGGACTCTCCATTTTATATCAAACCTTATCAAAGATGTACTTATGGAGGTCTCCCTCTCGTCATCTGACATCACATAGATTGATGTTATCACAGGAGAATCCTCAGTACATCCAAAGTACACAGATGACATAGTCCTGATATGTGAAGACCCTGACAAATTACAGTCTTCTGGACACCTTGAGTAGCGATTTGATATACGTTGCTTACCAACTAAATGCCGTCTCACAATAGGGAGTGAAATAATTGAGTGCGTTGACCAACTCACTTGACTAGGAAGTCGGATCAACTCTGGCAGGTCAGGGGACAACGAAATCTTGACACATACTAAAGGCTGGATTAGCTTTTGTCAACGTACGTCAGTCATCCTGACATCTGATTGTATATTAAGGGTAGAGTGTACTGTGCTACAGTTCATTCTGTTCTATTACATGGCTATGAACCAAGTTAATTAAAAGTAGAGGACATGAGATTTTAGGTTTTGATTACCACTGTCTTCGTAGCATAGGCCATATGTCTCGGTGTCGCCGAGACGGTTATGTAGAAGTCACGTGTAAAGTTTTAGCGAGATGAGGAATTTCAGTTGGTGAAATCGTGAACTTTCATCGACTCAGTTAGCTGGGACATTTTAATATTCGTATGCCTACTCACCATCCGCCTTTTTACACAAAATGTTAATTGAAGTGGGTCGAGACTAGAAAAAGATTAGGGGTGGCCAGACTAAAAGATGGCATTAGTTCCTAAAGTTTTTGAATACTAGTCTGAGGCGCATAGATAAATGCAGACTTCCCAGTTGGAGTTCGCATGGGAATAAAAATCAGTGGTTGGAGATTCTAAGTGGCTCAGAATTGATCTCAGTGGCATAGATGCATCCAACAGTATCTTTATTTCAGTTGCCATGTGGAATCCAGTATTTTTTCTTCTCCCAAGTTATCCTATCAAGACTTTCTACCACTTTTGATTGCTTCCTTCTCTATCCTTCATCTTCGTGCCTTCTCGCTCGATGTGTAGAAAATGGAACGATTATGCAGTAATGCCTGGCCCTATGTTGACATGGATGATTCTTGAGGGAAGAAGATACAGTACCAGGTAGAAATGAAGAGGGCAAGGACACTCCATACTGAGTGCCTAACAAGGATAATGTTTGCAAACGTGATATGATTGTATATTTTGCCACTATCGCTTACAATTCCTGCTGCTCCACTGACCATCAGGGAAAAAGGTGTTAACTAATCATGGAAGACAGTAAGTTAGGGAACGCGATCACTGACGTTTTTGTGATATGCCCTAGTGTCCAACGTATCTTTAAAAGATGTTGGTCGGCAAGTCATCTACCTTACAGACTGTCCACTGATACGGTTGTTACTGCAGGTAGCTCAGATGGACTAGAACATCCTCCAGTGATTGGCGGATGCAGTCGCTCATTCCATCTAACTCACAATTTGTGACTAAAAGCCCTGACATCCTTTATGTACATGTCATGTGGTCATCTGTGTAAGTGACTGTACGCGTTAGCTAAAGAAATTGGCGAACGAACAAGTTGTAAAACACTCAGATATCGTGTTCATTAGCAGGGTTTTGTTCAAAATCACAAGTGGATTTCCTCGCTATTTATATAAGTATAACTAACGACCATCTAGAACTTCCAGAAAATTTAACTCGGCTTGATAAGAAGTGCAACTAATTCACTAGTGTTGACTCATTTGGAAAAACGGTCTCGAAGAGCACCACTGAATAAAATGATCATCACATACACTGAAGTTTTACCAGAGTCTAAACATGTATGCATGTGCATATGCCTCAGATAGCAAATTGACCTATCGCTGAGTGAGACAATGATACCAACAGAGCCGGAACCTAAGTATATTACTGGTAATATAACTGTAAACAATAAACTGTATTCGCAGTACTGTCCAGTAAACACTACTCTTCAACTACATAAAACACATTTCAAAACTGAGTATAGGCACTGACAAGTACTTCGAAGTTCATAAAACGAAATACAGATGCCGTTAGCCAATAGGTTTAGGTGAATACTCCACAGTAAAGTTAAAACAGAAATCGTTTTCCATATGGCAAAACTTAAGTGTGAGGCTAGAGTAAATGTTAGTTAACTGTTACAGAAATCCATAATGGAAAATTCTGATACGAAGAGAAATCATGGTAGGTGCTATGAATTAGAATACCTCTGCAATTCCTTTCAACTTAAACTAATGCATCAAACAACAGATTTCGCCCACCAATTTCTTCTTCTACTCATGCATAATCTTTACATTTGATATCTTTGGTAGGTAATGTGAAGCTACAGTTTGTTGAAGTTATCGACTTTGGTCACAAACTGAATCTTGCTCTATCAATCGGAATTCGGACAACCGGAAAGGGTTACTAAATCTCAGGCAGTGTGTGTAACCCACAGAAGTTGTTATCGAGTTCCCTTATCGTAATCTCATTGAATGTGTCACAGTAGTTTAACCTACCGAAGTATGTTGAGCTGACGGCTACTTTGTATGGCAAACAGCTTTCTAGTAATTTTGATTACTGATATTTTAAAAATCACTGTTAGGCATATCAGATCACTCTGGGTTCAGAATAGAAACCTAATGAATGTAACATTTGCCCATCAGTAAAGGGTTTTTGCAGTTTCCGAAACAGGCGAAATCGCCTATTAGAACAAAGCTGCCTCAAGTGCCATATTAATTGGTATGTTTGTATTCTGTATACTAATTAATATGGCAATTGAGGCAGTCGGAAATAAACTGACAACTGACCATGAACTCAATGACAGAACTAAATTTTCTATTAAAGAAATTATGCTAGGGATAAAATTGTGTCTATTTTTCATAGTTTTCTAATTTCAAGAAACATAAAGAGTAGCAATGGGATCTCCAGTATCCCCAATCACAGCAGACGTTTTTATGAACTGTTGCGAACAAATGGTATAAGAAACATTCCAATCCACCCCAAAAGTATGGTGAGGATATGTAGATGACACATTTACTGGGTTGAAATCAGAACATACCCACAATTTTTCCACACACATTAACTCGATAGTAGATGCAATCCAATTCATTTATGCATTGGACAATGAAGGATTGCAAAATCAAGAGGAGAGAAGACGGAAGTATAGATACTAGTGTTTATAGGAAATCAGCACATTAGAATGGATTCTTGGATTTCACATCATTTCATGCCATGTCTGTCAAGGCAGGCTTGATAACATGTCTAAGTAACCGGGCTAGGAGTTTGACTAGTAAGTCAGAAAACGAAAATAAGGAACTGAAACACAAAAGAGACACTACTTCTTAATAATTATTCTCCTGAATTTATTAAAAAGTTTATAATGTAAGTGGTGACTGCGATAGGTCTAAGAGAGAATTCAAATATTCTGTAGTGTTATTGTACAAAGAAGGTACATCGAAACATTCAGGTAGAATTCTCATTAATACTGAGATTAGGGTGGGATTTAAATCCCCAAACTTGCTCAGACAGAAATTTTGCACGTTAAGAGATCCAGAAGAGCCAATTAGGAGAAATAGCCGAATCTATTAAACACCATATAGTGATTCTGAAGTTAGAGCAGCTGATCGGTGTCAGTCAGAACAGCAGAGCACAAGCATTTAGTAATGTCTACCATTGTGTATTTCGCTAAGATAAGTAGTTAAGAGAGAAACGTCTATCGCTCGGCATGTAGTGACTCACACTGTAGGGTGGGATAGGGTGACAATTCTAAAATTCAATATAGCTAGGTAGACGAAGAGACTGTTCACAGAATCTTTGTCCATTGAACCAACAGTTAACACACGTAACAGAAATGAATCATCACCTATTGCAGATATCTGGAAAATTTTACTACCATTAAGATAAAAGAGTGAAAAACTGTTGAAATACATAAAGGGAATTTTGAAAGTCGTATAATTACTTTGATATGAATATGAACAATACGTTCTACTCGAAATGTCATCCAGCAAGTGATACTGCATCAATATATGACCATATCAAATAAACAGTTTAATATGGAATTGAACTGGCATCCCTGTTGTAATTCATAAGACAAACTTTCCATCCATTTTCTTTCATGGCTACTTAAGATTTTAAAAGATTAAAACGACAAGTAACTTCAAACAAATATTTAAATCGATATGTACAATGAAGTCATAATTTACACTGGATATAGGGAGAAAAATAAATACAGCATAGAGATTAACTCCTTTTTTTTGATAAATAAAAAGAGGAACAACAAAGTTTTTTCTATGCGTCGTGTAACGAATGATAGAATGCGCAATTAACATGAGAAAACTTTAACCTGATATGTTACTAGAATAAAACTAATGGGTGGCTGAATAATCACCACGGGAAAAAGGCAATAGACAACGGAGAATTTCGACAAACAACACAAGTGAGAGCAAATGATTAGCGAAATAACTATGAGAGGTGGGATATACAGGAAAATATACATAGGGTAAGAGAACAACAAAAAACCGATGGATGATGCAACAATAATTTGACCTAAGACAAATAAAAAAAAGTTCTTCAACAGCCTCAGAGTTAGTAAACAAGGCACATTAGGTTGGAGATTGTTTACTTATTCCTCATTTCGAAAGAAACTTATAAGTGGCAAAGATATTCGTTAGCAGATACGAGTTCCATACCAGCACACATATACACAAATGCATCAAGCAAAAGATCCAAAACTGATAGTAAGACCACAACAACAACGAGGGGAAAATTTATTCATATAGGTACAAGAATACGTCAATATGCATAAATATGAACAGACAGAGATGATTATCGTAACCACAATTTTATAGTCTTAACAGTTGCATACATATACTTCAAAGAGAAACCTGAAATGCTCAGTCGGTGCCCTGGTTTTGTGTGTACTGAGTAGAGAAATTAAAAAAAAAAACTCTCAAACTATCAAATCTCATAATCCTTTACGAATCACTTTCGGTCTATCCTATGTCTGCTTGTACATCAATTTGGTTTTCTATCCATAATACAAAAAGTGCAGTAGACTAAATCTTTCTTGATAATAATAAACAAACAATTAATAAAGTAAGACCAAATACTAATAGACCACTTGAATTAGAACGTGGAGTGTATTCGCGTAAAACAGCTACCTAAAATATAAGAATAATAAATGAAAAAAACAACAACAATTGACAAGTAAAGAGTGAAGTTTAAAAAAAAAGGAAATGATTGTTTCGCTTTATAAGTAATACAACTACTGAAAAACATACAATGAACAGAAAGTATGCTGAAGTGACCAATTTTATATTTTACAGACAGAATACTAAACCTACAGAGACAAGTGATAGGAGGCTTCGAATGTATTTTATGACTATCAGAAAACATTTCTAAGATGTAAATTTCATGAAGAATTGAACCTGTATCACTTCATTACTCAGGCTCCAAATGACAGAAGATGTGTATTCGGAAAAAGATGTTATATCCTGCTTTTTTTTTCCACGGTCTTTTATTACACTGAATCTTACGTAGTCCAGTTATAAACTATCATGATGAAAAGCATATATAATTGATTGTATGAAGTATTCTGTGTATTTGATTCTTTTGAAAATGTATCTTTAACTTTTTTCTGATTATTTTATTTTCTTAAATTTTCATTTAGTATTATTCATTAACACATTTTTAATCTCAGATTCCTTTTCCAGTCTTAAAGTTGTATTAATGATTTTCTACATGTTAGTTGCTTTCTCGTAAATTACCGAAGCGCTTGCAAACTAAATGCTTTTAGAAACCCTGTACACATTCATTCAGTAGGCAATATCAATCACACCTGTCATATGAGGGCTAATAATATCACCTGATTGTTGAAATCAAAATAACTGGGGCAGGCTTCAAAGCTATGACTAGTTGGTTGAAAGTTAACTGCTCAAACCAATGAAATACAGCTCCAGAATAAACTGGTAGGCAAGTTCGATCCCAAAAATTGATAAGATATTCGGTTAAATATCATTTTTCAGATTAATTAAAACTATTCGATGTGGGTATATTTTTATTGTGAAATTATTGTACTTGAAAGTTGAGTCTATTGAGTGTTTAAGTAAAGTATGCATTTACTCAAATTTTCGTCTTCTGCAATATCAACAACCAAGTCATGAAGAAAAGGTAACACTATCCATGTGTGATGTTGAAGAAATTTTCAAGATATAAAAACGATGAGTGGTAGAGTCACACGTACTTTTTTTTGTAAACAAATTAAAAAGCGGTTATTCAATATATTAGCGCTAATTTGTAATTCTAGATTTATGAAAATTCCCGTTTACAAACATATGCATGAGACAAAATATATTTACGTGGTAGAACTCAACCTCATCATTTGTTGCGTCAAACTTAAATTTCTTATGTCTGGACTGCTGTCTCACCCACTGATGACAGATTCCATTAACGCTAAGCCTCTGAGTCGAATGTAGAATTATCGAACTCCTTTTGGGTACTAAGTATCATGGCGACCTTCTACTTGGTTAAAAATGTTCAGTTGTTTCATTTTTACTGATGCTAAATTAAAACTATCGACTCAAAAAAAAACAAAAAATTATCTGTTTTCTTATCTATGCTACTAACAAAAATAAAAGTAAGTTCAGTATATTATATTAAAATGAATAGTTGCTTGTTATGAAGGCTTGAAGCTCGAGGTTGTTATTTGCCTACAACTCAAGAACTGAATCTCCAAAGAGCAGTAATTTACTTGAACTTGCTGCTACAATGCTAGTGCTCTATCTATGAGTGAAGATTACAACGCTCAACACGTCGATCATAAATTCATTCGCCAGCGGTTTCTCTTGTACATGGCTCGAAATCTGCAAAATACAAGGAACCCACAGATTACCCTAGAACCTGGCAAAAAGTACATTGAATAAAGTCTCTATACTGCAAAGCAACGTGCGAAGAGGGAATGTACAGAAGAAGTAGAAAAAGTGTATCAAAAAGGAAGAAATTTTTAAAAAATGAAGGTTGGTGAAAGTGCTCAAACGTTAGTAGACATCAAAGAGTTAAAAAATCTGCGCCATTATGACCCATTTTCAGCCATACCAACAAGGTTATCTAACTATTGATTGATATTGTCATGAGGACCCCAGCCAAGTAGTCTACAACTTCCTATACCACTCGGACCAATAGTGACATCTTGGTCTGGTTAACCTGAGCTTCATTCAACACAATCCTACTAGGGCTAGATAGAAAGCTAAAAACTACTGCTTACATTAGGATAATTTAACGAATCAATCCGTTACTTATTCACTCTTTATATACTAAAGAGAAAGTTAAACAACGCACTTTAGCAAACAACCAAGGAAATTTTACGGAGTTCAACGAACAACAATTTCAATGAACACCATAGTACTGTAAACTTGAAACACGGTAGAATACTCCTCATATCAGCTTCAATTTATTCCTTTCAAATACTGAATACAGTTTATAGTCCAAAAAGGTGAACACTTATTATATTTTAACACCTTAAGTATATGAAAGGTTTGTGACCATAAAAGCTAATCTGAATAATCTAGTCAACTATTAAACTATAAGTACACAACAAACTAGAAACCAATAAATTGTTAGGAAATCATACACTGAGCAAGATACTGTACAACTATCCACTTTATTCAACAGAGATAGATATAACTATTTAAAATTACTTCTATTTTCACAACACAATGGACATCAAACAACTTTTACTGCATATAATGGCGTTTGCCAACGTCAAAATATACAACTTGGATACTAAACATATCATATGGTCCAATACAATACACCCCAATGTGAGTTACACAATATGGTAACTAAATGGTTTGTTGCCTTACTATGATCAATAACAATAGGTTTGAAAAAACAAAAAGAATTGTTCTAAGTATGATAAAGTTTATAACTGACAAATTAATATTAATTTTTAAGGCTTGATATTGATTACAATCAAAAATCAAAAGAAAATAAAATGTCTCCAATATTACAGCATGACTTATCAAGTCACGCGATTGGCTACTGAACCGTCAACCTGTTAACATAAACACTGTAAAGGCCGACCGATACATGGATTACAGATGTGGTGGTCGAGCAGGTGTATCACAATTACCCAACAAGCTACGCTGCGGAAAATATTGCTAGATAGTGATCAGATAAAAAGAAGCCACCGCTGTAGTATGACTGACTGACAAATCAACGTAGAATCTTGCACACACATGCATCAGCTCAAGTTGCAACACCACACACTGGTACTACACAAAAATAGGTGGATAGAAAACCGATATCAAAGTAGACAAAGTTAGGTCAGAGAATAAACAATTTCAAGACAAATATTCAAGCTTTAAAACATAACAAAAAGTGAATACACCTAAACCACAGTGACCGATTTTCAGCCATCTCATCAACGGTTAGTCCTCAACCAATCATTCCTTTCGTCTCGTGGACACCAACCACGCAGTCTACATCACCCCATACAACTCACAACAACAGTCAGAGAATTCATCCACTGATGCCACGTCTTCGTCTCCCCAACCTGAATCCTCGTCTAAATAATCCAACCACCCACACCAAGGTACATCCAAGTAGACCATGACTCGGCATCCACAGTAGATGTCCACGCCACTCCACTCCACTCCACTCCAGTATGCTTCACGACCTCATCAGTCAAGTTGCCTATCTTACCCTGCACCACCTCACCAGTCCCTGCAACGTGATTTCACCAAACCCCATCAATACTACGAAGACACAGATGATCAAACACCCATAACCACTTCATGTCTTCCACCTTTAACGTCAATGTCTCACAGCCGTGCAAAACGACAGAACGAACTGCAGCCTTGTATACTCGTCCTCTGATAGACAGTTGCATAACTCGCCGGCACCAAATGTGACGCGTCTTCGCAAACGCCAGTCAGAACTTCTGTATCCCAGATGAGATTTCGTCATCAATCACATCACTTCAGCTGATCCAACTCCCAAGTAAGTCAAGTGGTCAACACCTCACTCATCATCATCATCATTAAAATAGAAGTATTTGCAACAAACCAGTCATCGAGCGTCATCACATATTTGACACATCCTAGTAAAACGTATGCTAAATATACACAGATTTCTGCTCAACACACCCATAAGACCCTGCATTCAGTCAGCATCTTCAACCACCACGACAATATCGTCTGCATACTCCAAGTCACCAAGAACACCTTCAGGTAGACGAGCAAATCAGTCCATGTGAAGTCAGGCACACCTAAGGTCAATACGTCTATATGACGAAATTAAATAAGAACAGTGACAGTGGATATCACCGGAGGACAACACTAGTTGTCATCAATTCACATGAAAAATCTCCATCAGCCTTTAAACGCATGTGTCTGTTCGAGTAAAGAGCATCGATTAGCACTATATACCCGCTCAGTATTACTCACACAGTCAGACACTGTCACAACACAACTGTCGATTCAGTCAAATACAGACTTCCGCTCAACAAATATCCCAAGTGTCGGCCACTGGTCAGTAAGTAGGCCTGTCTTACAAAAACTGTTTCAAAATCAAAATATGATCAACACACTATCATCATCAAGCTCTGTCTGGTCTTCTCCAGTTTGCTGTTCTCGACCTCCACTTTTACGCCTCAGATAACTCTGCATCCTAGGATCTTAGACACAATATCGGTCAAACTAATTCCCTCATGCTTATCACAAGAAGATTTCTCCCCTCCTTATACACTAGGATGATCAGTTTGCAAGTAGACACATCTGACGCCAACACCTCTCATTCCCATACAACATCTAGTACCTCCATCACTATAATCAACAATTCCCTATCTCCTCCATCCTTGGGAACTTCACATGGAAAATAGTCGCGTCCTGCTACTTTGCATCCTTTCACGTTCCATACAGCTTTCTCAAATTCAAAGAGAAATTCAGGACTAACATCTACTCACCATTCACGTTCAGCTTCGATATTGCACAACTGAAGTGTTGCTAACAGTCAGTTGAACTGTGCTTCAACGTGTTCTCCCCAACGTTCTAGTCACCTGTTCTTTCTGGAAGGTCATCAAAGTCCCATCCTTCCCAATGATGCTTTCACTAACCATCGTCTCTTTCTTACCACTATCCTTGATAAGTCTAAATAGTTGCCGAGTGGCACCCAACACTCATGCCTTGCCTTCTTCATCTCCCTGTCGCTCGATTCCACCACTCACCACTTCTCAAGACCATTTCAAAGACTGTTGGTCAACTTTCATTTCCGTTGCTCTCCCTCTTCATCGTGCTCACAGACAGACAGATGGACTCAGTCTTCTCACATCAATCCCTGCAGATGACATCGAGGAAATACAATGACGTCTACCGACCTCCAGGTGTATGTTACCAAGCGTCTTCATCACTGTTTCGACAACACACCAAACATCAATCACCCCAGCATTACTCTCACATTCACATAAATGCTCAGCTAACTACTCCCCAAATGCATAACTGGCATCCTCATCCTTCAATCCACCAGAGACAGGCTTTACTACCACTCGTTCACTTCAACCAGTAAGGCACACACACAAATACGAGACCGTGCCAACGCGTCATTCCAGTGCGAACTGGTACTCCGAAAACACCAACAGTCCATCACCCATCCTCTCCAACAATGGCTTACATCAATGTGATCTATCTGTGTCCATCGTTGGCTTGAAGTCAGTGGATCCTTCCTTATGTCTCAAGTTAGCGCTAGCCAGAAACAAGTGACTGTCAGAACAAAACTGCAACAGACGATCACCTTTGTCGCTTCCTCGGCATCGGATTCCGTAAATACCAACTACATACCTTTGTGATTCGCTCACCACACACACACACACCTACCCTACTTCAGCGTTAAGGTAACCAACCACCTACCATTATGACTGCATCTGAACGTCTTGCTTACTGTAGCAAAATTGACAGCTTCTCATAGAATTCGTGCTTTGTAGTCAGTGGGTGCATAGGTGCAGATCACGAATAGCCATTGCCTAGTTTCACAATCCTTAAAGATCCATTCAGTCAAACACCATACAGACGGCTGATGTCTGATATCCAGTCGACAAGCTCACCTTCTACTCTACAACTCAATGCTATGCCTACATCAACGAGGCCTCGACAACTAGTTACTGGTTCTTCAGATACACTTGAGGTGAATTTTGAAGATTCACTACGCTGGTCATGTGACGTCAATTTGATAAGCACACTCAGGTCTTGTATATGTGTCTCAGAGACACAGCATACATCCATGGCAGAGATTGCAGGGTTCTGATGAGCTTTGGACGGTCTTCATGCTTGGGAATGCACTTCCCATTGCGGCAGAAATATGATCGTCAGAAATTAATATACAAAACTGCTTCAATGTCACTCGACTGAATATTGATTTTGTCGTTTTCAAAGATAAATTAGTGCAGATAGTGTAATCATTTAGGTGGTATTTGTATTCCATCATTGAATGGTAAAGCGAAATAAGGTTGTTTTACTCTTGTCAAAAAGAACATTGGCAACAGCTGTTCAACATCTAATCCGACTATAAATGTCCTAAATACTGCCATAATCTCAGGGTTTAAAAAATATTTGTTGCTATGACAGATAAGTCTAGGAAATACGTAAACTTACGTTTCTTGTAAAAATGACACAACTGTTATTAGGGACTATGCTGACATTCATCAGCAAAGTAGTTACTAATTAGGAAGTGGCCAAAAATGGAAATCATCATTCATTTAGTCCTTCAGCTGAAGGACAAAATTGTTCAGTAAAACTAATTTGACCAATCAAGATCTGAAATGAAAATATTTCTACCCCAACAGCGAATGACCTTGAATAATGATTTCCATTTTTAGCCACTTCCTAACATTACTTTTAGAATTAGGAAAACCAGATTACGAAAACCATAAGAAATAGGATGAACAGCTAGGAAATCCTAGTTGATAACCTGATCTCAGATGGTCAACCTATAAAATCTAATCTAGATATTGTCTAGCGGATGTTAATTTGGAATCTAGTTGTCTCCTAGATTTTATTTTCACCTCGGCCAGTTTGTCAATTATAAGTTGTCACACACAACTTAGGCAATAAACACAAAGGAAATGCTTACCCAGCCGCCATGACTTTGCACCCATTTGTATATGCCATGGATAAATATAAATTTAACAACGAATCGTATCACTTCACTTGCAAGACCATTAAAACCCTTGGAAACAGCATTGAATACTACTTTGACAGCAAACATGAACAGAACTACAATGCGTGACCAGTTAATAATTCCATCGGAAAAAACTCTAAAGTAAATCAGAAAAAAAAACAGTCACTATTTAATTCCATTAAGCATCCTGTAGATGACTTGTTTAATGATAATAAAATGTGTGAATGAATGATCTACCTCACAACTAAATTTAACAGCGTACGGAAGCATATAAACAAGACCTGCCAACAACATAAAATACACATAATATATGGTACTAAAAATGATAGTGGAGAAACTCCAATAATCCAAAGTAAATGTGTATCTATAATTGGTTCAGCATTAATTATGCAACTGTGCCCATCACAGTCAGAGAATGGATAAGATTATTGTGTTTGGTCGCGGGACATACATTTTTTGTAAACATGAATTAAGAAACAGGATAATCAATTTTTAAATGATTTACAACTTGCACTGTTGTACGTTGACATTTCTCACACAGATGAGTAGTCTTTCAACTGCCCAACTGTGGTGTCAACAGAGTTTCCACAGCAAACCACCACCCATTAGCCAAGATTACAAGGTGTGATATCTGACATAAAAGTGTCATGAACTAACGGGATATACTACTGAACAACATGAGTAGTAAGAAACAACTGGTGCTGATCTGTAGGTTTTGCTGGCCAGACCAAGTACCTAGTACTCTGTGGTTTTCAATAGTCGCTCAGCCGACTCGTTATTAAAACAATCCTTAAATCAACGAATAGTCAGTAGCAAGTTTTAAAAGCGCATTACAAGGAATACACATAAAAATAATCAGCAAGAGCGTAACATTGATCCATGAAGAAACTGACTAGTTGACCTGGGTCATTTAGCAACTGAAAACCCACGGTTAAAATTCACAAAATGTTAAAAATAGGTATCTAGAGTCTCTAGTCCACATGAAAATAAAGTTGATCAGTCAACTTTTTTGCTTACTTTAAGTATTAAACATCCGACTATTCTACATTCAATTACTTTCCCTCTTTCCATGCATTTTAGTATTGTGCTCATCTAGCTAAATAGGTTTGCTGTGCTATTTCAAATACGGTGGTTTACACCGGTGAAACACTCACATTCTATTTGGTTTCAGTCAACATTTTCGTCATGTTTAGGATGAAAAGATACATAAAGTTGAGTGAGATCGCGCAGAAAAGCAGCAAATTAGCTCGATAAATGTGCTTAGAAATGACATCATCGGCCGGTTTATTACTTTTAAATCCTCGGTTGGACGAATTCCTGAAGCATTAAGTATGTCGCATAGGTTGCTACCATAATTTAAAGCTTAAAACAAAACAAAACTGGTTGCAGACATGTACCACAATAATTAACGCACAAGGAACTGCTTTCTTTTAATGACCCTGAAAATAATAGGAAAATAAAAATGTTGGAACAGTCAGTCAGAGATAAGGATAAATGACCACTGATAAACTGAGCAGAAGGTCAAAACTCACTCCGTTTTCCGCTAAACGTAACCCAGTAACTTAGTTCAGGTCTACAGGTTCAGCTAAAAATCAGACATTGCGTAACGACTAGTAAAATCAACTGGTTACCAAAATCTCAGTAAGAGGAGTGCGATTCAAGCATGGGGCCAGAAAGGTACAGGTAATTAGCCAAGACAATAAACCATAAGTCTCAGGTGCATCAACTAGTATCGCTGACCCACAAGATAAGAACAGCTCATTTGCATTGCCAAAAAAATTCCAAATGATTGCTAAATATTTAATTCACTTTCCACACAGCCACAAGCTTACAATTAGTAGTCTGACTAAAAGAAAACGCATAGTTCTAATGTAATAGCAAAACACCTTCACCACATGGATAACGACACCCAATTTCGCATTCCAATATTTAATCACCGAAAACTGACAGAAAAATCAAACCCTGAGTCTACAATTACCGCCGATAATGCTTCGATGGTAGGCAAGCACCGCAGTTATCTTCGAAACCTCATCGAACTCATCCGATTCTTACAATAAAACATGGCACAACAAAGGCACCAGCGAATGCACCACACAAGATAATATAAAAATGTTATGGAAACATAAAGCGATAGGAAGTGGATGAATAAAAAGGAAAACACAATTAGAATAGAATGATTAGAAGGCCAGTCCAGTAAGATATGTTCAAAACAAAACGTTCATTACTTTTCCGCAGAAAAGATGGAAGGAAGCTACAGCGCCGTGGCTACTGGTTTTGATTACTAGCCAAATCTGACAATGTCTCAAGCCACTGAGTTGTGTGATCCCTCGGACCCCATCCAGGGAGTCGTGGTGGACTAACAGATGCTAACTCAATACAACTATCCTTTGTTCCACGGCATCACGTCATACAATAACCACCGCTCGCCGCCTCTTCCATCCAGTCTCAGGGCTAGCAAACAATAAACGGTTTGGTAGGCGTTGGAACAACATGCATAACAAATGTCCAAGCCACCAAAGCTGGTATTTTCAGATGACTTCACTTATTGAATGACAATCTCCATCATGCCCAAACACACGCTGTCGTACCTCAGAATTACTTAGATAGTGTTGACACCGGATACGAGCAATCCTATGGAGACAACGATGATCGAACACACAGGGTCGTCGCACATTCTCAGCTCGGAAAGGCAAGGTTTCACAGGCGTAGAGTAGAACTTCTCGCACTAAAGCGTTGTAAACGCGACTGTTTACCGTCAGACTAACATCGCGACGGCACCAAAGGTGGTCCAGGTTGGCGTATACCACTCCGGATTTCGATGTGCAGTTAGAAATGTCATCACCCACACCTCCACCAGGACTCACGTAACTGCTTAGATACACGAACTTTTCGACTACTTCCAATACTTCACCACCGACGGTGAGCACAGGTACAGGCTCCTGCCAATCTTGCAATGGTGCGAGGCGCATGGCATGCTTACGGGCATTAATCGACAGCTGATTAGATGCAATTTGAATAGCCTATATGTTATCACACAGTAAGATGGTATCATCCATATATTCAAGGTCAAAGAGCCGTTCTCCGAGTAGCATATCTGCACCACCGTCACGCACATCCTTCAGAGCTATCTCAAGAATGTCATTGATGGCAAAGTTAAAGAGGAATGGAAAAATCAAACAACCCTGCCTAACCCATCTGCTGGTTTAGAACAATGGAGACAGGTGATTGTATGCCTTCACTCTATCTGAGGTATTGTTATATAGGGGTTTCAAGATGTCAATAAATTTCTCAGACACGCCCCTCTCTAACAGACAATTCCAGAGTACAGCTCTGTCCAACGAATCGAAGGCAGCCTTAATGTCAAGAAACACAACGACTGTTGACCTGCAATACGTGTGGTGATGTTCAAGCATCTGGTGGAGGATAAACAGATGAACAATGCATTTATAACCTGAAGGAAACCCGACCTGTTCCTCGCGAATCATTTCCTCACGCGTTTTGCTGTCTGTGAAGTATGATAGCAGCCGATATTTTCGGCGCAACTGGTAACGGACTAATACAATGATGATTGTCACATACATTACATAGACCCTTTCAAAAGATGGGCACAACGATGGCTTCATTTCCAGAGTGGTGGAACACCTAGTCTGCCATACCTCTTCAAGCAATTTAATCAGTTCCCTGACTAGAGTCGTTCCTCCATCGTTAAAAAGAGCCGGGGGTAAATTGTCTAGGCCGGGTGCCTTGTGATGTTTCAGAACTTGGAGTTCCCTATGGACCTCCGTTTTGTTAGGTGGGTCAGTGTTAACTGTCCATGGAGCCCGATACATTGAAACTGAAGATGCTGAAGCAGTGAGCCAGCGAAGTTCACTATTTCCATGGTGTCTTGCAGGTGCACCTAATGCTCGTCTAGACTTTCTGGAGGATCGGTAGCCAGCCTTAAATCTAACCTGGATTCATGTTTGGCTGCAATACTAGGTGGAACTAATTTGCTTGCATCGACCTGTTTAGGATGAGAATTTTGATGACCATCAAAACGCAAGATGAGCTTAGTACACACTAAAGCATGATCAGAGTCCAAACAAGTACACTCTATGGCTGGCAGTCCTGTATACACTTACCCCATCAGTAGCTGATTGCAATATGATCTATTTGAATCCATGCTTGAGTGGCAGAGGGAAGATACCAAGTAGCCCAACTGCGATGGTTGTGCCAGAAGTTGGTGCTGGCTAGAAATATGTTGTGATCTGTGGAAAGATGTAGAAGACGACCTCTATTATCTGACCTGTGGTTAACTAATCATGTGATAACCACTGAGGAATTACTCGAAAAACCTGGTATCGCCAAGCCCAATGTTTAGAAATATTCGCTGACGTCTGTAGCTCGGTGAATATAAACTTCCCTCACATCTTTCTTCACTTATGATTATTATGAAACCCCTCAACTCATTACCCACTGATCACTCATCAAGTCTCTCCTATCGACCCTACTTCATATGTTTTTTCCCACCTCTTCAATCCTTGACGACTATTTGACTCCAGAGAAGTGCTCGGTAGTCTCCTGAAATCAAAATCCAAACTATATATCGAAGCCTCAAATGGCCACACTCTTCGTCAAATGATGCAACGAGCTTTGTCAACCGAAACTCTTTTATCTCGGGTCATAGGTGTATGCTGAGTGTGGCAGATATGGAAACGAGATTCAAATCAGGTTCATCACTCATTCTCAATTAACCACTAGTTAATCCACGAAATTCACCGCTCGAGTCTCCGGAAATTTGATGTCTAATTCTGTGTTCTTGAATATGCAGGTGTAGTCCTGAAAGCAGTAGGCGCGTTGCTCCACTAGATCCCAGTTGACGGTTTGAGTTTCAGGAACTCAGTCGAATGAACGCATATTTGTGACCGACTGCTAAAGCTGTGGTGAGAAAACTACCTATTTCTGATGAGCACGAACTTCAGACAAGAAATAAGAAATCATCCTCAAGTCATCTGTAGACGCAGATAAACGTTACTGCTATCAGGTGTCGCATGAACATCGATGGTAAATTGGCATTCATTCTAAAATACACATGTTTATCCGATCATCACACGTCGGTTCAAACACGCGTGTCTACGTATTAGTGGACCTGGAAAA